TACGAATTCACCTATTCTGGAGCTGTGTTCGCAATGGGTTTCACTGATTTTGCTGTAACACATTCCAGAAAGGTCCATTGCAATATTGTACTAATGGATGTAACAGCAACATAGAAATCAGAGCTTATAAGCAAGCACAGCATAGGTCACTTAATATTGACTCAGTGGAAAATGTCACCCCAATGGGAGGGGGGCAACCCCTGGGCCAAAACACATGGTACTAATTTGGTACAACTGATGCCCATTTAATATCAATTGTCAATTGAAAATCACTGTTGTCCAAATGTATTTAGGATCTTGCAACTAGCTCCATGTGAGTGTATCCATGTGCCCAGGGAAAGCCTCCATGGTCACAGAGGTCCACACATACAGATCTAATTTCAGGATTGGGTCCTTACTACTAGTCACTATTCCCTGAGGCCCAAGAGATTTTTCATCTTTTCAGTTAACAGCACTGTATGGTTTTTGTTTCAGCTTGTTTTCCTTCAGCTCTGTAATTAATAATTTCACTTTGTAATAGTAAGGAAATGAAAACAAACACCTCTGTTTGGGTGATTTGATTTTAAGCTGAGGAATGTCAGATCAGCTACTGAAGAGTCTTGGATAATGGGGAAAAGACATGGGCGAATTGATGGTGACATTAAGTTGGACTGATTGCATCACTGTGATCAAATATTTAGAAAAGAAAGCTCAGGTCCTTTGAACAATAGATAATAATCACTGTGGCCATTTAGGTTTGCAATCTAGACCTTAACTTAACTGAAAGTAGTGAAATCTTAGGTTCAACTTTACTGCCAGTGAAGCAAACAGGAATTTTGCCATTGACTTAGAATGGAAGCAGTGTTGTGCCCTTAGAGAGTCAACAAAAAAAAATTGTTACCAAAATGTATAGTTGTGAGCCTTGTTATGCTCACAAAGCAATAATTGTTCCAAATGTTGTAGAATGAAAAAAGAAGAAAATAAACAAACAGATTCCATAGCAGAAAATACTCTCTACTGTCAAAGGACCAAATACAGTGGAAGCATCACAATTCTACTACCTGTAGGAACCGGGCTGCAGAAAGAGCATGCAGGTGGTGGTGGTATGGTGTGGTGTGGTGTGGATGCCACATCTCCCACAGCCAACATCCGCAGTGACCTGCTTTATGGAAATGAAGAGGTTATGTATGGGCCGTAGGATTGCCAAGGGTGTGACCACTGCATTTCTGTCCTGCTCAGTTCCGCTGGTTCCAAATTCTGCAATGGAGAAGCAGATGGTAGAGTTGCCCCAGGGCCTTGCCCTATATACTAGGGGAGGATTATGCTCTTTTTCATCCCCTATTGATTCCTCACTTAAAGCCCAAGTAACAGGCTTTGATAATTTCATCCTAAGAAATGAAATGTCTTTGGATTTGATACAGACAAGGTAGGTGAGGTGATATCTTTTATTGGACCAACTTCTGTTGGGGAGAGAGACATACTTTGGGGCTTACACAGATTTTCTTCAGGTCTGGGAAATTAGCTTTGGACTTGATTCTAATTTACACTGATGCCATTTTACCCCACTCTGCCAAGGTAAAAGGGACTTAAAGTGGGCACTGGTTTTATTTAAGCCATCTTTAAAGCCCCTGTACGCTGGCAGAGAGGTGCAAAACAGCCTCAGCATAAATGAGGATCAGATCCTATATTTGGGAGGAGAAGTTTGCAATGTATAAATAAATTGCAACCATACACAAATGATAAAAGGGATCGTTTATGTTTAACTGGTTCTATTTGATTTCAGTGGTAAAGGGTAGTGCAACTGATGGAAATTGAACTATTCACTACAAGACATCTACATTTGTACTGACCTATTAACTACAAAACATCTATATTTACATGTAGAATGCAGCATTTAAGGAGGTTTGATTGCTTTAAATTCAAACACTGCTAAATGAAACGCTAAAGTACAATTAAAGGTTTTAGCTGCAAAACAAAAAATTAGATACAGTAGCACGCAGTAGTAGTAAAAGAGGGTAAATGATGTTTTAACTTGTAAACAAACAACGAGTACAAAAACAAATGATATTAGATGTGCTTGAACATCACTCTCTTTTTGAAGGACCCTGAATACAATGCAACCAAGTTATTCTCTGCTGTCAAGAATGCTGGATTCCTATTAGCAACAGTCAGAAGTTTGTTTGGCTGTCTGGTAAAAGTGAGTGCCAGAGCCCAAGGTGCAGTGGATGCAGACAGCAATGCCACACACACATTCATTCTCACTACGAGGCTCCTCCTAAGTCTCACGTGGACTGCAGAGAAATCCACCGATTTCTGATCCTCAGTGCTGCTTGGGAAACCTTGCAAAATTATCAGAAACATTCATCAGTTTAAGCACAAAATCGAATCCTCCAATTTACCATGCTAATGATGATAATGATCCAAATATTTTACTTGTTCATTACAAAGTTCTACACACCCTGCATAAAGAAGGTGAATAGAACTTTGCAAGGCATCCTGGGATAAGAAGGATGAGGGATTTTGTTATTATTTATAGTATAGTAATTGGAGCATTCATATATGTTGACATCTAAATGACATTAACATTGATATTTAATGGGGATTTTACATGTGTCTGTGTGTGAGAGAGACAGGGTGGGTGAGGTAATATATTTTATTGGAACAACTTCTGTTGGTGAGAGAGACAAGCTTTCAAGCTACTCAGAGCTCTTCTTCAGGTCTGAGAAAGGTACTTCGGGCTTGTCTTCACCTACAGCGGGGTAGCTGCTCCGGTGCAGCTGTGCCCCTGTATTGCTAGTTAATCCACCTCCCCAAGAGGCAGTAGCTATGTTGATGGGAGAAGCTCTCCCTTCAACATAGCACTGTTTACATGGGAAGCGGGGGGATTAGGTTGGTATAAGGAGGTCGCTTGGGTGTGTGGATTTGTCACACCTCTGAGCAACATAGGGTCTGTAGTGTAAACCTGGCCTTAGGACTTGTCTACACTACACAGCTTTTAGCGACACGGTCGTGCAGTGTAGCCACTGTTTGTCCGCTTGCCTGCTGACAAAAAACTTCCACCCCCAACAAGCAAGCAGCGTTTACATTGTCGGCAGGAGACTTGTTGTGTCGAAACTTTTGTCTTTCGGGGAGAGAGGGGGAAAGGCTAACACCTCTGAAAGACAAGTTTTGTCGTTCAAGTGCCAGTGTAGACATAGCCTTAGAGTGTCACAGCTAAATACGAGATCCAACAGATAGACTATGCACCCACTAAGGGACCATTGAAGGTATATTGGCCCGTTAACAAACCTGTAGTCATAGGACGAGAAAAGGGTGGGGGTTAATGGGTTACAGAGAGAGAGAGAGAGACATATTTAAGCTCCATTGAAGTATACTGAGACAGAGGATTGTTTTATGGGGGCATCATAAAAAGAGTATGGTAACACTTTTGCTAAAATATGGGGGACAGGTGCCCTCCATGTGTAATGCTCATCACAAACCCCCATGTGCTCACGCTCCTGTGTATTATACTGTACAACACTCTACAGTAGTAGCAGCCAGGCAGAGGACCCTGGATCCCAGCTCCTCCTCCAGTCTCAACTGCTCTTCATTCACGCCCACTCCCAGAGAGCCCCGCAACTGCGGCTTCCCTCCTCAATCCTACCTCCTTCCAACAGCCCCTTCCCCCAATGCCAGTCCCCACAGTCCCAACCCAACCCTAACCCAGCCCCTCAACAGTCCCAACCCTAACCCAGCCCCCTTTCCCCCAATCCCAGCCCCCAACAGCCCCTTCCCCCAATCCCAGTCCCCACAGTCCCAACCCAACCCTAACCCAGTCCCCTTTCCCCCAGTCCCAGCCCCCCAACAGCCTCTTACCCCAATCCCAGCCCCCACAGTCCCAACCCAACCCTAACCCAGCAGCCTCTTACCCCAATCCCAGCCCCCACAGTCCCAACCCAACCCTAACCCAGCCCCCTATCCCCCAATCCCAGCCCCCCAACAGCCTCTTACCCCAATCCCAGCCCCCACA